TAAGTCCATTGAAGAAAAGTTATATTTCTAATATTTTTCAAGATTATTAATGAGAAGGATGATTTGTAATTCTTGCATGGCTCTTCTATATTTGGATATATGATGGTAAGACCACAGTCTTAGTGGATATATGATAGTATATTTGGATATATGGTGGTAAGTACCACAGTTATAGTGCTTTAAATCCATCTTTTACTGCTAAGACTGAGTGGGAAGTCTGTAAGTAGGGTAACCAATAATAAATTTCATAAAATGTCTATCTTACGAGAAAAGGTGATAGATGATTGTCATATGTAACTTTTTAAACTCTGAGATTTTTCAACTAAATTTTTTTGTCTCCTTTGGAAACTTCGGAGGACCATGAGGGCAAGCTGTATGATCCACAGAATGAGAAGTGCTACCTTAATACATTTCAATTCTAGAGAAATTAATCTTAAAAAAATCTGATCATTATTAAAACTACTTTACAGATTTATTTTATATTACAAATAAATATAGTAAATATCTAATAAACCTCAAATTAATTTTCTGCAAAATGAATTATTTAATTTGTACTGTGTTTTGCTTCAAAATGGATGATACATGCAGTTTATGATTTCATGAAAGGACCAAAAGGAATCTTGTTTGCAATTTAATTATTTAATTTAAAAAGATTTAAATCATTTTGGAATATGTGCAAGTGCATGCAATTATTATGAAGAGATTCTAAATTAAAATGTCACAATAACAAATTTAGAATATGTTATGTACTTCTAACGAATGTGATTTTTTCTTTATTTAGGAGCCATGCTTGAATCCTAAGAAGAAGAGGACTGCACCTTCACAAGAATAATTAAAAATAACAATAATATAAATTTTACCTATTTTTTTATTTTATTTTCCTTTTGGATAATTTTCAAAATAAAATAACCTATTTTGTTTCTATATTCTGTGTATTGGAATAAAGAGTCGAAATCCATTGCAATATCCAATATTTTCAAAATATGATATTTTTTGAAATAAATATATGATTATGGAATATTACGTTAAAATGAAATGGTTCCTTATGTAACCGTATGTTACACTAAAAGGCTTCATCGAATACTTGTAAAGTAATGAGCAAATACTAAGTTAATATCTTGTGTGAATGAATATTATCTTACAGAATTTTTTATTCCATAAAAATCTACTAAAAATAATTTTTGTTGAATGAAGATTTAAACATTTTTCCCGAAGATTTAAAAAGTTGTTTGAAATAATGATAACAAAAACATTAATCTGAACCATTTTAATAAATGAATAGAAAATTTTGAGAACAAAATCAATAAATCATCCACAGGAATTTTGAAATAATCACGTATTTTTGACATCAATTAAGAAAGAAAATCTGAGTCATTTTGATTATAGTGATAAATTAGTTCCATTAATAGTAGGATAGAAAATTAAAATTTTAAGGAGCCATTATGCATTATCAATTTTTATTAAAAATTTTTAGTTTATTACTACTATCATATCAATTATTAATGCTGAATTCTTTATCTTCATTTTTGCATTCTTTCTTAATTTTCTAGGCATAGCAGAGAAAAATATAATTATAGGATCAGGCATTTCCAAATACATTATATTTTCTTCCTTAAATTTTTAAGATCATTCTATATTCATCATGTATTATAGACACAGTATCAGGGGATTCTGTTCAATTTTTCAGTTAGAATTTGGGACGAAGTTGTGAAGTCATACTACATTAAATGCTTGAATTGATTATTTGAAATATGACAAAGCCAAAGAGGGCCATCTGTCCAAGTAAAAGGAATATGTTAAGTAAAACTGGTTTCATATTCAAATGTTACACAAGCATTTACACAGATAGCCCAATTCTCTGGGATTTGAATCTAGAGCCAAATGCTAATGTTCAGCTGACTGTCTGGCTGCCTGTACTGCAGTAATATGTTTTAGTAGAAGGAATACTTGAAAAATTAAATCTAGGACTAACTAATTCTTTTCAATTTTGTATTCAATGAGAAGGAATGTAATTTATTAATAAAGTTTTAATCTGGGAAAATACCTGTACAACTGTCCGATTAATTAATCTATTATTTCAATTAATGGTCAGTAGCAGAAGAGATTAAAAAGCATTTATGCCTAAAAGAATTATATGTTGTAATTAAAATGAATAATGCAATTACGCATGAAAATAATTTTGGATAACTTGTGATAACTGAATTTAAGTTCATTGTTGAGTTACATAAGTAATTTTTTTTAGAATTGTTTATTGAAACAATTTCATTAAAATATTTTTTTACTGTAATCATATCCAATTGCAGTCTCTTTAGGTTACACTGTGTTGGTATAAGGAGAATGATTTGGTTTAGTTTACTTAAGTATGGCAAAGCACACTAGGACTATCTGCCTAAGTGGAGAAAATGCCTTTGTGGAGGACTTTTGAAGGGAAACTGATTTATATACATGGTACACATGGAGAAAACCATAAAAAATACCCATACAACCAGCCCATTCGCTTCGCCGGATTTGAACCTCGGACCGAACTACCAGTGTTCAGCGGGGGAATTCTAGAACATTACTAATTTATTGCCAAAAAAACCATTAAGTCTAATACACAATTTTTTTTTCCAGCTATTTCGTGATGCATATTGTAACTTTGAGATGTCTTAAAATTCAATAAAGGAAAGTAATGCAGATGTAAGAAAACATAAAATTTGAGCTTCTTTTTAACATTGGGAATATTTTGAAAGAAAATGTTGTATAATCTTTTAGAAATCTAAGGTATTTTTCCTTAAAAAAAAAAAAACTTAATATTTAAAGTTACATAACTTCCCCTTTCCCCACAAATAAATAAATGCAGCATATTTTGTTACAAAGCAGTAGCTGTAGACATTTCACATAAAACATATGTTCTACATGTGTAATTATTATAGTAATATTACAATCAAAATATTTAATATTTAGGAATACATCATTTTGTATAAGACAAATATGTTCTATATGCATAATTATTTGGAAGAACTTTTAAGTAAATTATCTGCAACTTTTACATATATATCCTTTAAAATTTCACATGAAAATACATGTTCTTACATAATCACTTGCAATAACCTTACAAGCAGAACACTAGTAATCTACAAATATTCCCTTTAGTAATTCACATTCAAAAATTACGATCTACTTACACTATTATTTCCTGTAATCTTTACAGATGTTTACATTGGTAAATCACATATGAAAAACATGTTATACTTACACGATAATTTCCTGTAACATTACAGATCAAAGATCTGTAACCTTTACAGGCATATGCTTCGGTAATCAACATACAAAAACTTTGTTATGCCTACAGAATAACTTCCTGTAACATTACATGTCAAACATCTGTAACCATTACAGGTATAATCTCTATAAAGTTACTAAGAAAATTCCTATTTTGATTACTCAAATAATCCATGGCATCCCAGTTTCCACGACTTTTCTTAGTAACTTTACAGATTTTTTTTTACAGTGCAGCATATTTCAAGAATTCCCATATCCAGTAGTCACAAAGATTCATGTCCGGAAAACAAGGAAGGTATTCGGAAATGTATCTGGATCTTTACGTTACTTGCTGGTCTTAACTAGCGAGTTTTTACACAGTATGTTAAAATTCGAACTCGTAACTCTTGCTTGGTTTTGAAAATCAAAGACAGATGATAACATGCGTCGCGCACGCGGCGAGTAAACCAATAAATGAAAGTTCATTCCATAGTTGATAAATAATTAACATTGAACAAGAAAATTCTTCCTAGACAAGACGGGGAGGATGAGCTTGAAGTCACTTAAATAATCTATATTTAGATTGAATAGAATAGTAACTTTAGTTTCATCTATTGTGCAGTTTGCACGATTTAAAATTCAAATCAATATTGGAAATGTAATCCAAGGCAGTTATGGCTACTTTTAACTTCTCTAGCATCGTTTTCGCTTGCTTAAATTTGATGAGGAATTCTTTAGCTATTTTTGCATGATTTTTCATCCATTCAAAAAATGAGATGTTTGTAGTCTTTTTCTTTCATGTAGGAGCTTCATGGGTTTCCAGATGTTCGTTGTTTAAGGGGAAAGTCTCGAAACTGCATGATTACTTATTAAGCGAGCACAGAGCATTTTCTTAGCTTGTCGACCAATGCGGTTGTTGCACGAAGATAGTAGTCTCTAAACATTCTCGTTCTTCTAAAGTTAGGGATCATGTAAGGGCTTGTCTTGCTGCTGCATAATTTCACAATAACAGGCACTCATACAGTTACACATTTTTCAGGTTTGAGGAATACTAATTTTAAAGACAATGTCCACGAAAATACACCAAGAATGAAAATCAGCAGTAATACTACACCATACAGTCCCATAATCAGAATTCTGGCGCCGCTATTCATGTACACGTTCATTGGGGTTTAATGTGTCCCGTATGAAACTGTTCTGAGCTACGTATGCTTTGTCTTTCGCAGCTTTATCTAGATATTAGTAGCATATATGGCCATTATTGCGTTCGAAAAGCATTTACAATAAGTATAATATTAACTAAATCTAAAATATCAGAGTAATTATGCTTAAAAAATGTGCTTCAATATGTTACTATTCTTAATGAGTTAATATCTTTCAAGGAATATAATTTTTATTACAAAGATGCGGAAGCTAGAGTAAAAACGTTGCGTCATTTGACTGTTAGAAAAATTTAGAAACTTCAGCTCTGAAAAAAAAAACTTTTATACTCTTGCTCTTACCAGCACTCCAGTTCTTCTTAGACTGGTTTAGTTAATCAAAGTTCATTGAAATAGAAAGGCATACAAGTAAAGCGAACTGAGAGTCAAAAGTTCTTCAGTATTTGTTAAATTTATTTTCTTTATATTATCTACAGTTTTGTCAATTTATATTCGAGATATCTTTGATAAACTGATTAAATGGCAATAAGATAATTATTAATTTAATCATAATAAGTTCCTCAAACATTTTAATAACGAACATACAATTATACTTACTTGAAATGGAAGAAAACTAGAAGAGCCAGACTTAATGCAACAAGCGAAATGCCATAACCTACATAGTAAATAGTAGCGGCTTCCTTCATATCCCATAGCACCTGCAAACAAGAATATTCTCGTGAAGCATCGATTCTTTATCAATTTTCATTGCCTTACTAAATAACTATTACTATTTAGGGTGTTATATTTAAGAATTAGCCGCTTTTCCTTTATTGTCAATTGTACATTCGTCGGCTGTTATTTGGATACAAATAAATAAATGTATTTAAGCCCAGAGTTCTTGAGATCGAGACAGAGAAACTGTTAGCGTTTAGCAGTTATTTCTGGCCGTTTCATTAATGTTCCTTTCAACGTCTGAATGACTTGAATCAGCTTTAGCTTTCCTAGCCATAATTGATCGACTAAGTTGAAGGCCGCAGCCAAAGTTTATAAGCTTGCTTTGTATAATAATTTGATGTTTGATCTTTTAATTTAAGCTTTGCTTCTGTAATTCGAGCTAAGTGCGGAGTTTGATTTCTGTCGTTACTCAGGCTGTCTAAATGTTAGGCTGATGGAAAAGTTTATTTAAATTTTCTTCTGTGGAGGCGTTGAGGAGTCAACATACTGTTTTCGGAGTTGGAAACGTGAAAAACCAACGATGTTATCGCCAGGATTTGAACATATCCAGAGCTTCCAGTTGCTAGCTGGACAAGCTTTCTAATTACACCACGAAGTCGCATAGTTAGGAAGAAGAAAATTCTTATAGAATTATTTCATTTAGAAATTAAGAAAGGGCTATAATCCACCTACCATTTTTTCTGGATGTAAATTTTAACATTGAAAGTAGTTAAGATCAGTAGAATAAGCACAGCTAAACGTTTCTTTGGACTTCGAGTTACGTAATATATACTAAAATATCGGTTAGTTACAGGCAGTTAGTTTGAGTCACTAGGATTTCTGAAGTAGGCATCATGAAAATCGAGCAATGCCCTCGCCGAGACTCGAACTTGGGCCTCTTGAATACGCGCCGAGTGTGCTACCGTTACACCATGAAGGCATGCAGAAAGGAGGAAGAAAATGCCTTACAAGTTAGGCCAATTTTTGAATTGATTAACAATGAAAGGAATAAATATCTTATGTTTTGTTGAATAGCAACACTCAGTAACTCACTTTTATTAACACTCAGAGTAATAATTGTTTGCTAGTCCCACAAAATATAAATCTATTCATTTTAAATTACTCACATAAATACTGCATTCGAAATGAAATACAATAATTACCATAATATTTCGAATTTAAGCAATACATTTCAGTTAGAACTTTTAAAGACATAAAATTAGGGTGCTGCTCAAATTCAAAGCGGATATTTTAACGTCCTATTTCTAAAATTAGGTAATATATGATCTGTGTAGACGTATAATCGATACCATTAACACAGATCAACAAACCCGTCTGACAGTGCGAACAAATACTTTTGCAAGAAATTTGAAGAAAGCTAAAAATCAAGAGATCTGTAAGGACATAAATTAACTCTAACTAATGCGTCTAAAACATCGTCGGAGAAAATAAAGCTGCTAAAAAACATCGCCGTTTTAAAACATCGTCGTAAAAAATAAAGCACCTGCAAACCATCGCATGACGATAATATCTCATTGTTTTTTTAGGCTTTAAAATTCCTAAATATATATACATAAAATGATTTGTGAGCGCAAGAAGGAATGAGGAATATGTTTACCTTCATCTTTCAGATTTTTAAATTAATTAATATTTTTATGCTAAAAAAAGGAAAAATGAAAGCATTCAAAAACTGAAAATGAGTAGAAAATTAATGTTACGCATAACAGTTAATAGAATTTTAAACTTATGCAGTTATTTAATGAAGGCCATTATTTAATTAATCTCTTTAGTGAAGTCATAGTAGTAGCTCTTCATGAGAAATATAGTCTAAACATTTCTAAAGGAAAGATGAGAAACTGCATATGGTTATTTATATTAAAACTGTTGAATTAATTATTTCAGTTTAAATAAAGAAGTTCAATTAATTAGTTCATTTTCAGTTTTTAATTGCTTAAATTTCCTTCTTGATTTTAGTAAAATTTATTAATTGATTAAAAAATATAAAATATGGAGGTAAAATATACCTTATTCCTTCTTGCACTCACAAATCGTTATGACAATATAAATTTGCAACATTCAAAGCCTGAAAAGCACACTTCTGCTATATTATCGTTATGCGATTTGTAGGTGTTTTGATTTTTACAAAGATATTTTCCAAGATTAAGATGTTTAATCGTGATGTTTTTGAACCGCTTTTTTTCAACAACGATGCTTTATACTACAATGTTTTACAATTGTGATGTTTCCTCCTTGCTTTATGTTCTCTCGCGATGTTATGGACGACGATGTAATGCACTCCTTGTTTTATTTTCTCTACGATGTTTCCTTCCGCGTGTCTGTGCCCAATATTTTCATCTGCAATATTTCTGACGCTTTCGTAACCTGATAAATTTGTACTACTAAGGAATATAACATACAAGATACTTCAGTGCAGCATCATAGAATATGCGGAAACATTCGTAAAAATCAATTTTTTAATTTGAAAAGAATGAAGTGTTGGCACTGTCATCCCAGGGTACTGCTTTTAAATTAAAATACTACTTTTATGTTATGAAAGTTGCATTTTTCAAAATTGATTTTCATAAAGATAGCCATTCAGGTTGGGGCATCTTAGTGAAGTGAATATTGGTCTAAACGTATACTGGTCGAGACACATAACAATGCCAGCTTATTACTATTAAGGTATCCATGAAGATAACTTGTTGCTTGATTGTATACAATCATTTTTAAAAAAATTTAAATATTACTGGAATATATTTGAGACTAATGTGCGATGCAACGTTTTAGTCGGATATATTAACATTTAAACCCTCTAATCTATACGAAACAGATTATTATTATATTTTGTGTGAGTATTGTAAACATACGAAACGAAAAATTAATCATGATATTTGCATGATATACATGGTGGAACTAATAACATTCGTATTAAAGGTTAGTTGAAATATTTGAAATTGTATAAGCTTTAGATTAAAAATGACATTAATTAATGCAATAAGAATTAAATTTATCTTCTGTAAATATGTGATCCATTTGATACACTTGTGTATACTGCCTTCTGCTTAATGTTTAGAGCTCAGTTAAGTCTTCTTTAGGAATTCCAGTTTTTCCCAGCTATCTTTTTCCAACAGGTTTTGCTAAGGAATAAGACTGCTTACTCCAGCTGTAAGTCGGAATCAATGATACTTCTCAATGATCCAGCCAGCGTTAGTAGTTACCAGATGGAACTTGTTCGATAATATCAGCATTCTTTTCTGTTTGGTCCTGATCAATAATAAATTAAGTTAAAATAGATGTGATGGCTGATATGCTGCTTGTTTATTTTGGCAGTAAATTTATGTTTTCTTTTTTGATGAAAAAAAATATATGGCTGCTTCATGAGCTTTAATCCATACAGTCTTTACATAACCTTTAAATGCGAAAGACGGCTTAAAAATTCTTATTAAGCCTTTATCGAAAAACTACGAAATTAAATTTTTACGTCTACGTATCAATCGTCCAGATTTTACTCCTTCTTTGACAATCAGCAGAGTCTTGAGTTTCATCCCTTCAGCATAGCCTTTGAGGACTAATATCATAGGACAACTATCGCTTTATGTTTAACGATTTCTGGAATACTTTACTCTTCTGTTTAAATTAATTTTTAATGTATCTTGTCTTTGAATTACCTGAATTACATGCTTAATACGTTGTCGACAAATATATTACTCTCAACATATTTTACTAACTAATAGTATATTTCGGTTATTGAACTATTAACTTACCTGAAAGAACTCATCTTCATGAAGTGTCAATGGTTTGCAAGATCGGTAGTTGGACCATGATGACCAAGTTCCATTTTCTAGGCAATATCTGCTTGCATTACCTATTGGATAAATAATTAACAGATTATCAAACTTTTGTGATTATTGAGGAGAAATTTATAGGAAAAAAACATATAGTAAAAATATTACATAAAAGCTGAGCAATGAAAATGCCACCTCCATAGGCAATGATGCCTGAATTTATGAAGGAAATGGATTCATATTTGCACATATTATTATTATGAAATCCTTGACAACCGGTTCTTGTTGTCAACAGATTATCAAACTTTTGTGATTATTGAGGAGAAATTTATAGGAAAAAGCATATAGTAAAAATATTACATAAAAGCTGAGCAATGAAAATGCCACTTCCATAGGCAATGATGCCTGAATTTATGAAGGAAATTGATTCATATTTGCCCATATTATTATTATGAAATCCTTGACAACCGGTTCTTGTTGTCGCTGTTAATCAACGTCAAATATCAGCAACCATATACCTGTGCTTTCAGCCACGTGTTTGCTTGACACTGAAAGCGCGTTCCAAGGTATGCTCTTTCTCACGCAGATTGCAAATTACATTTCTAGTGCCACCTTTAATTTCCTTCATATTTCCATCAAAGCATAAGTTGCTGAACAGAACTAGCATGAAATACTTTTTGCTGAGCTGAACTAAAATTGTGAAGGAAATGTTGCTTCGACAAAGAATAAAATATTTACTTATAGCAAGCTGTTTATAACATGTGTGTATAATAATTCAAATTTATGTATCTGAAAACACACTTTTAGCTTTATAGAAATTTTTAGGTGAAAATCTAACTTTGTTATGAAGAGAAAGGGAGAAAAATAAGCTACAGATAAAATATTTTCAAAGTAAATGATCAGGGGGAACAGCTCTTAAAATATTTACGCATTTTTTAAAACAGCGCATTCTTTGCAAAATATAGCACTTTTATTTAGTTGTCGTCATTTGCTGTTATTTTTGTGACAAAGATGGTTCATCTCTTACTAAATTTCAAAATACTTAACTGATTTATAATAAGGAGAAAAAGATTAGGACAAGTAGATTTTGAATAAAATCTATAGCTCTCGAAAGCGATCACCTAGAAGTCCCTGCTTTTATGCTGCTGCAAGTGGTTGCGTTTCTGCTTAGTTTTTAAATATTATATTGCCGTGATTCTCTTCCTTCTTCGTTCTCGTTCATTTAATAAATATTAATTTTTATGGCCTGAAAAAGAATTTAAATTAAAATATCGAATTGTCTTTAAATATGCCCATAATTTCATTTTTTTGATAATTTAAAATCTGTTATTTTTACTGAATATCTATTAAAACTATACAAATTAATTAAAATAAATTGTTTTCATTTGTAGAATTGATCTCAATAACGAAGTCTCATAGCTATAGAAACTAAAATAAACATCAAAGAGCCAAATGTTTATGTGCAAATATTTTAGAACTTTCGATTATTTTGTATTCCAATGAAATTAATGAAGGTTTACAAAAGAATGAATATCTATTACATAGTACCATTTTTTCTTGAACAACAGTCATTACTATTTCTTGATTAATACTATATAAATTTTGAACTGGACGAGATGCGCTCTTTCAGAGGCAATTTTGTAAAATTGTATGCAATGTATATTTAAGATGCCATGAAATTAAAATTTGAAATAATATGAAATGAAAATAAGAATTTGGTTAACTGATGTATGAAAAGCAAATTAAATCATACCACTTACTATTAGTATCATAACGGACGCCATTAAATTCAGCGAAGCATGGTACACTAGCAACAGTGCCTGCTGGTGTCGTTGGCCAGCATGATATACCATCCCATGTGCTATTGCAGTAGATTTCGCCGCCTGTAAGAGAATGAGAGAAAACGCTTTGATATGCATATTCTAAATGCTATGGGTTATGCAATTCTAAACGTACAATAACACCTATAGGATAAATGATAACCCAAATGTATAAAACTACTCGAAATTTGTAAGATGATATCAGTAAATATTTATTGCAAATTTTAGTTTTAAGGTCATATATCTAAATAGTATAATACTTAGCAAAATTTTAAAATTCTAACCTTTCTTAAGTGCATAATTTAAGTTATAAATTGATAGTTAACTAATTAGAGCATTACATAAAAGGTATTTTTCGAGAATTTACGCATACAATAGTGTTTCTTTACCTAGAATTAAACAAACGATAAAAATATTTATAGTGTTAAGTACTCTTGAACTGTGTGGTTCTATGTCTGGTTTGTTTACCTTTGGGTCTTTACAGAAAATTGAAGGTTTTGCGATATTATGCTTATTTATGTTCATTTTGCATTGCATACCTTTGTATTATTAAGTATTGTTGTGTTGCGTTTACATGTTACAAAATGATGTTATATTATTAATAAGCATACGGTTTGAAATACAAGAAAAGTTTCTCTGAGAGTAGAAGTTCTTCAAGCATAAAATCAGAATGTTTCAAAATCCTTGCGCTACTTATAGAATTATTAAACTAAGAAAACTCCCACTTGTGGCTTCACTGCAGCTTGCGGACGTAAATTTGTACGACAGTATAATTCAATGTTAAGTCGCAGAGCCATCTAAGGTCACAAAGCTGTGTAAGGTTCTACTTGCCTAGACATTTAAATCACAAATATGGCTCTCAATGAATTCTTCCATCTGCCACAAAAAGTGGTATTAAAGCAATTACAACACAAGACTATAATCATTCCTAACTTATTATTTTGCTCAAAATTTCTGGATTCATCGCATGTTGCTTCTTACCGTAGTAACTACATTCGAAAAATCTGCATCTTCTGAAGGCGCTAAAATAAAGTGAGAAATGCAAGAGAGAAAATTTAATAGAAGTATAAAAATCGTTTCTATCTTTCTGGCTTTCTTTAATTAGAAAAACGTAACATATTTAAGCAAGCAGAATCAACATTTGCAGTGGGTTTAATTTACAAACTAAACAAATTTAAACATTCAACTGGATTAGTTAACTAAAATAAAATCTACAGCATAACGCATAAGCATTAATCAAAAGCAAAATATTCTATGGAATAACACTTTAAATGATTCAAACTTTGCAACTCAAATAATTTGTCAAATAAAAAATATTTTTTAATATACGATAGAGATGCATACATATTTAAGTTTTATTAAAATTAATAAAATATATTATTTATATATTTCTTGACATCTTAATTATTATTGTAGTTAACAAATATAAATAAATAATTATTTTTATTGTTTATATACGGTTATAAGAGGTCTATGTTTACGTTTACAGCCGTTAAGTGGTACGTTATTCCAACCATACCGTAGCCGGTATCACCGTGTATAACACCTGTATTACAATAAAAATCTACCAATTTGAGAACAAAGGGAGACAAAGAAAAGCTCCTCTACATCAAGTGGAATTTGTATTGTGTTGGGGTTTAAAACCTCTGAACCTCTTCTATCGTTTTCAAAGCAAGTATTTTAGCATATAACGAAGCAATTCATTTTACCAACAAATCGCTTAGTATTCAGAAAACATAATATACAACGTTGACCATAAGAGACATCATCTTCTTGCTCTAGTTTGAGAACAATTCTGCCAAAATTTTCTGTGAAAACTGAAAAGCATTAAGGAAAATCTTCTATGATTTATTTTAATACTTTTTGCGTCTTCTAATAGCTTTTGTTTTGAAAATATAATGCTTGAACAAACTGTGTTTATACGAAACCGATAGATCGATTATCAGCTGCCCAAAATGATTTGAATTTCGTGACAGAACCGGCATTGTTTGGGGTTTTTAAATTATTTTTTCCTATTATCAAGTCATTATGTTGTTAATGTACTAGTAAATCAGGTTTTAGTTCTTACCTTTTCAAGCTCTGTCTTCCGTTACACTGATTCTCCCAGTCGGGAAGAAAAAAATTGATTACGGGAGAATGAAATTTAAATGCTATCCTGAAACCATATGCTTTAGGATAGCTGCTGTATAGTCGGAAGCTAGTGGATGTTCAATGTTTTGGTAACTTATTTTAGTTTTAAATCACAAGCAATGAAACAAAATAAAATTTTCATTGTTACGTGTTAAGTTGTTTCATATATTTTTGTTCTGTTGTTGAAGATAATACACACTGATACTGACCATAGCCTACGTTTTGCTAGTTAGGTGAGACTGAAACGCAAGATTTTCAGTTAGAGCAACATATTTAATTTCGCAAAACTCCAGCAAGGGAAACAGAAAAAAGGCTAAATGGTATGTCAATATTATATCATTGGATAGAAAATCAATGACAAATGTATATATCCAGTGTAGTCTGAATTTTTAGAGGGATAATTTCTGTGAAGCTGACAAGGCAAAATTTACACTGCATTTTGAAAAGTAATATCATCTGGCCAAATAGCTATCTTTGATGTTCATGTGATTTTTAATGTTATTTTCGTATAATCTAGCGGAAGCTATATTTCTAAACAATGCTTTGTATATCTATATCATAAATTCATTATTTAATTGCTTCATGGTATACATATATGCGATATCGATTGTTTATTAAAACTGTGGATAAGCCTTTTTCAGTGGGAATGAAACATAGTTTACAGCCCACAACAAATTGAAGCTCTGGGGTACAAAATGCTATTCAATAGCAGTAGTAACTGAACATATAGGATACAGATTGTTTAAGATAGCTACAGATTTAAATTCCTTGTAAATTAATTCAATATTTTTTTTTAAATATAAATTTTTTTAAATAAAGAGGAGAACTTTATGAAGGTAGTTTTAATACTGTACTCAAGTAGATTCTGTAAAATGAAATCTTACATTATATATAATGTCCAGGATGAAAAGTTCCAGAAAATAGGATTTTATAAATAATTATAAATAGCATTTCTGATATGTGAAAGGTTTGAAATGATATTTAAGAATATATTTTTACTTATATTATCTTTTTAGTTCCAATTTTAGCTTAATTTCAGGATTTTGAGCTCCTTCAGATTAGAGGCAGTCCTTTTAAATTATTTGAGACAGCATTTCAGAGAAATTTGCGTGTAAAAGTATAGAATATTTGAATTTTAACTAATGCATAATGGGTATCATGCTATACAACATTTCTTGCTCTACGGAAAATATTTATAGAATTTCTATAAAACACAATAAAAATAGAATGTTACTTCTTTTCTGTAAAATTCATCTTAAGTTGCAGACCTCTTAACAAAGATTCTTAAGTTACTGGGCAGAACTTTAAGAAAACAGTTTCAAATGATTAAAAGATTCTGTATAAATAAAAACCTCAATTTTTGTATGATACTCACAATCTCAGTAGTAGCAAAATAGTCAGTACGCTTTTAAACAAATTCCTCAAACAGATGAAAATAATCGTTCCATTTTGGTGAAACAGCACACTTTTCTAAATCTGTAGCAAGTCCATTCCAATTACCTCTTACATCATTGCGCATTTCGCGCATAGAAAGCTGAGAATTTTGCTATCTCATTAAAATGCCTTAAATATTTCACTAATCTGAATTAACGTTTTCACTCAAAATGTTGAAACTTTGCTCATAAAATGCGTTAAATTTTTTTAAAAAAAACGTTTTCATTGAAAATGCAAGTCTGGATTCCAAATTTAAAGAAATAAAATTCGAACTCGTCGTTTTGGAATACTTTTTATATAACTTGTGTTATTTTGTACAATGTTGTTTCAAGAACATTTGTTTTAATAAAATTCAATAGTAAATTTGATTTCTATTAAACAAAAGTTCCATCTCGGTTTAACGATTTTTCTTAGGTTTCCTCATACGCGTCGGGCAACGATTTATGTTATCCAAAATTATAAAGGATGTTTAGTGAGAGTTATTCAGCTTAGTAGTCATTTGTAAGTTTTATATGAATCCTGTTCATGAGCAACTATAAATTCCTTGTTCCAAACGTTTCGAAATTCCTGCATATGGACTATCTAGGACGAAAAAGAAACTAATTGGAAATAAAAAGAGGAAACACCAGAAATATTTTAAAGATCAAAGTAAATTGCTAAATTCTTTAATTTTAAGTTACAATTAAAAGAAAGAAATTGCTTCTATTTAAAGTCACTGTCATCCCTTAAATCTATTCTCAAACATGAAACATTGCGATTTCCTTAAATAACACAAATGGAAACTACACAAAGCAATAAAATACTAGAATCGTTATTTTCCTAATGCTCTACTTTATCAAAACTTTTAAAAGTCTTCTGGGAAATGAGATAAAAGAAACGCAATGAATGACTTTCAAAGCTATACAGTTTATTTTATTCCTTAAAATAAAAAGGTAGATTTATTATTTGTTCTTCATTGAAAGAAGTAGAAAACTAATTGATATTTATTATTGAAACTACCTCAAAATATGATGCTGATAATAGCTAATAAAACTTTCTAGGAAATCAAAGAAAATCAGGGTTTAGATAAACAAGCATCTATTTAAGTATCGTAATATTATGCTTACGTTCTAAAATATGCAGTTAAATCCGATCTGTAATTTCAAATTGCTATTAAAAACGTCATTTCAATCTAAATTACATTAACAAAATAATGGACGCATGTTAACAGTAAATTTCGAACATCTATTTCAATCCTAATTTGCAGTGGCAAATTAAATATTAAGAACTGTAGTTCACTACAGTTTTCTTAAAGCAAAACTTTTTTTTTATTTCCATTTTAAAACTGAAACAAGAATCCAATTTTCAGAGCTCTTCAGATCCTTCTTTTTTTCCCACTGTGTTCTTCTTTAAATTTTTTGTGTTACTGGTCTTTAATCTATGTTGAATAATCTGGTATTTAAAAACTGCTTTTTTAACACATGTTAAACATAATTACATTTATAATGATTTCCCAGTTA